TGTTTTTTCTGTTTCAGATAGATGGAGAACCATATTATTATTATTATATATATTTAATTAAATCCTTGTAAATGCTAACATATATATAAATGTATGTTTATATGTTAGCATATAAATAAAAAAAAACAATGTAAAATATAATTATATTATGTTTATTAAACAAAAATGTATACAATTATATATTTATGAATTATTTATAAGCCATTTCTTTATTGCAAATACTTTATGGGATGTACATTGTTTTGGATTAAATTCCATATGAAAAATACAGCAGGGAAGAGTTTCATCGTCACATATTTGGTCCAAACGTGGACATCCAAGGTCTTCGATATTGATGAGTGCGATGTGAGGTATAAATTCTATAAGAAGTTGTTTTTTCTGCTCGCCTTTGACGTAAATGCAGGTGAAYTTTAAWGAATTCAATATTCTACTTAGTTCTTCATACTCGATATCACCATATTCTAWAGTTAGTTTATGATAGTTATGCTCCAACCACTTGTTTGTTTTTCGACTCTTGTTGTCCTGCATAGATTTCGAGTTTTTAAAAATCCAGTGTTGAGTTGCCCATGTTTCTGTATCGACTACAGACATTTCTTTAAYAAAATATTTATTGTTTGCTCCAAGAACACATTGCATGTCTAAGATGGCTGAAGACATTATGACTTGTTTTCATGAACTCATTAAATATTAATAATTTACAGAGGTATACCGTATACCAGTCACGATGTGGTTGACAGCTCGATTGAAATTATATCTCATATATTTAACCAATTATTGTATTTATTTAGTTTTTCTTTTCATAACTGCCTTCAACTATTGCCAAACGTGAATTTAATTCTGAAATATATGCCGCATGATTCGGTAATGAGTTTTCATCAAATATTCCGGTTATGCGATTTATTTCATCTTTTAATTGGAACAAGTCATGTCCCTGAATACCTATTGCTGTACTAGTTTCAGCACAGTCATTAAATAGCTTCGACATACGATTTTCACAATTTAATAAAGACTTATTGTTTATTTGTATATTATTTTCCAACAATTGTGTCTTCTCTTGTAGATTAACGAAATGTTTTTTCAAATTATTAATTTCTTTCTGTTGGAGTTCCACACCATTTAGAATTGATTTATTACTTGACTGAATATCTGATAGAATTCTCTTAGTATCACCAGCTTGAGAACTACCAAACACGTTCATAGTTATAAAACGACTGACRCTATATTTTAACATCACGTGTATTTATCCAACTATTATGAGTATTTTCAAATCCTAGCCACTTGACAAACACACGATTCCCCKTCCTTCTTATAATTTTTTCGATCAAATATTCATTAGGGAAATTAGTTTTGAATATTTCTTGAGAGTAAAAACAACCTGCAATAGGTTTACCCATATAATCTTGTAACTGATATGTAACTGGTAATGTTTTATTTATTTTAATAATCTCAAATATTTCAGTAGACCAGTTTGGAAGATAGCCTTTTGTAAACACGCCTTTTTGTGTACTGATCCGAACGTTATCTCCGACTTTGAATTTATTTTTTGCATTATATTTTATTTTACGATGTTTTATTTTCACCGACTCAGGGTTAGCATCTGCCTGCATTGGTGACATTCCTATAGTTCTATGTCGTGAATTATTATATTCTTCAAGCAGCTTCGGTAAAATAGAAATCCAATCCTGAGAACCACGTGCGGTGAACTCTCTATACATTTTTTCCTTTAAAGTTCGATTAAACCTTTCTACAATACAAGCTTTTAAAATACTGAATGTCGAATATTTGTGTATGTTATACTTGGTCATTAATGCGTCGAAAGTGGTGTTATAAAATTCTTTTCCGTTATCGAGTTGTAAAAGTTTTGGTGAGCCTTCAAGTAATATTTTAGACATTGCGCCAGTTACTTCTTTTCCTGTTTTAGACTTTAATGGTAATGCCCAGGCTMGTTTCGTGAAACAGTCAATTACGGTCAAAATGTACTTGTTATTTTTGTTTTTATTGGAATATGGAATCATTTCAACCAAGTCAGCTTGCCATAAATCATTTTTTCCATACACGTTAACTCTACGTCTTTCGAAATTTTTCCTCGCTGGCTTGTGAAGTTCTAAAGCGATTTCACGTTTAGACATTTGGAATCCGTTTAATTAACCCAGCCTCACGCAGCTCTTCGAAAATCGAAATTATTTCGTTTGAAACACTTGTATTACCAGCTGATTTGGACGCGATAAGTAGACGTAATCTAACGACTAGTTCATTCGGATCGTCCCAGTACACTAAGTTATTTTTTCGTGATTTCATAAACAGTTCACCACCCGAAGGAAATAATTTACTAATAATATTAGAATATTTATTACCCGTCTTTTTGCTTTCYTTAGCTTTGACAAGCTCATCTAAAACAGAAGTTGCTTCCGCCATGACTACGTTTTAAATGWTAATATATATTTTTTGCATAGTCTTATATAACCACATATGTATCAAAACCATAACGATAACGTCCGTTATCGCGATCACTGTCTTTACAAATAACAACAAATGCAAACCTTTCACGGTTCCAACACGTAACACAAAAATGTTTAAACTGAATATAGGACATATCACCCGAACAGTGTTCGTTGTATACATGTTTTAAATTGGTTTCATCTTGTTTGAATAATACTATTAAATTTGCATTATCACGTATCAACTGTTTAGGTACTTTTGAATAACTCTGGGCTAAATAAAATATATCTATTTTATTGTGACGACCTCGAGAAAAATACTCCCTTATTACGTGCTGATGTTCTCCGATAACATCATCCATGATAAAAATAGAATTTGGTAAAACTTTCTCGGGTGGAATAACTTTATCAGTCTCAAAAAAAGTAAAAATGTTGACACCATCGATCTCATCAATAATCCGTTTTAATAATTTATATTTAGGTTGTTATAAAGTTTTAGAGTATATATAAACATTTTCAAAACGCAGTCCGTTTTCATCAACAAGTAAAAAATAGATTAAATTTGTTTTACCACAACCCGAACTACCCAAGACTAACGATCGTATCGTATTTGGGAAAAGCTCACCATGTCGCAGCTGAATTGTGTCGGGGGTATCAATGTTATAAATTCGGAGTTTTTTCTCTTGCTCGATAAAKCGCATTTTTAAAATTTTTAACTATAAATACGGATGTTCTGTCATTGAAAGCGTCACACGATKTCTCGCGTTCGTAAGCGAAACAACAGTAAGGGATCTGGACTTATTAACTCTGTTATAAATCATCTACCCGTGGAATTACATTTACCCGGTTATAGGTAAGTCACTACAAAAATATTATTATTAATAATAATTAAAAATTAAATAAATATATGTTTCTAGATTTGCCGGTCCTGGAACCAAATTAAAAGAAAGATTAGCACGTGGAGAACGCGGAATAAACCGCCTTGACGAGTTGGCCAGAGCTCACGATATTGCATACGACGAAAGTAATTCGCTCACTGATAGACATAGAGCGGATGAAGTTTTAGAAAATCAAGCTTGGGAAGTGTTCAAGTCCAAAAACACCGGCATTAAGGAAAAAGCTGCGTCTTGGTTAGTTACTACAGCTATGAAGGCAAAGCGTAAGCTTGGGGCTGGATGTGGTTTTAAAAAAATGGTTTCGGCAGCTAAAAAAGCAATCAAGAATAAAGTGAACGAGAAAAATATAACTAAATTAGTAAAAACTTGTCTGACAGCTGCGAAAAAATCGAAAAAATTGAAAAATAAAAATACTAAAACTCCAAGAATTATACCCATACCGAAAAAGGGTGGAGTTTTACCTTTAATACCTATTTTCGCTGGTTTATCGGCATTGGGGGCGCTTACCGGTGGTGTTGGTAATATAGTTAAAGTCGTGAATGAATTAAATTCTGGTAAAAACACTCCTATTCATTTAGGYAAAGGATTATATCTTACTCCTCACAAGGGGAGTTCTTATAAAATTGTAAAAGGTAAAGGTTTATACCTAGCACCGTACAAGGGCGGATCAGTTAAAAAAAAAAAATCGAAGTCAAAAAACTAATTTCCACGTTACCCGACAGAGCGTTGTTCGATTACGAGATTATAAAATACGCAGATATGTTGAAAATACCTCATTTCATTGGTGTATTTTCTAGAGACAAGTTGCCTCTACGGCCAAAAAATCAAGAGTCTGCTGTAGTTAATTTAGACATAGAAAACGGAACAGGTACTCATTGGGTAGCGTATAAGAAAATCGGAAAACAAGTTAAATATTATGACAGTTTTGGTAACTTGTCACCTCCACTAGAATTGGAGAAATATTTCAACGGATGTGATATCGAATATAATTACGACAGATATCAAAAATATAATACAACAAACTGCGGACACTTGTGTTTAAAATTTTTATCATGTATACTATAACGTTAACCGGTAACTCTAGCGAATTGTCATGTGACTTTTTCCCACCGATAGAAGTCGGAAAAAATGCGAAAATCGGACTGTTGGGTTTTCAAACGAATAATTCTATTCCAAATGTAAACGAAAAGTGTAATCGAATTGGTTTCATATATAATGGTAATAATAATAATAGTGATAGCTATGTAATACCTACAGGCTCTTATGAGTTGACGGAAATCGAAACGGCAATAAAACGAGCATTACATAATACTGATACTTTATTCGAGTTGAGAGCAGATAATAATACATTAAAATGTTCAATGTATTGTAGTGAAACTGTAGATCTTTCTATGACTAATAGTATAGGTCAGTTGTTGGGGTTCAAAAATGGTAAATACCAAGCTAATATTAATCATGTATCAGATACGTTGGTCAATATCAGCAGAACAAACTGTATACATATATATCGGATCAAACTTAGTTATGGGCTCATTCAATAACGGGAAGCAGTGCCATACAATACACGAGTTTTATCCAAATGTTCCTCCTGGTTATAAAATAATCGAGATACCACCACATTTGGTATTTTACCCCCTTAATACTTCATCAATAACACACGCAAGTATAATTTTAAAAAATCAGTACGACGAATTGGTCGATCTACGAGGTGAGCCTGTATCAATACGACTATTAATTCAAGACTTGTGAAATGGGTCTGCAATTTTATAATATAAATACGGCTGCATATGTAAAACCCGTTAGTCGTGTTAAAAACACTAACAAGGTAACAACTCCGGAGAAGAAAAAATATTCGAGACGAAAACAGACTAAACATAGTCTAACACCTGATAATTTGGCTTTTCTACGCTCGCTAAAGGCTATTTAATATGGATGAYACTTATTTAAATGTCACTGCTGGTTACGTGGATGATTGTAGAATAACTCAAATTGACTATCATTCTTTTTTACCTTATTCGACATCCGCTCTTTCCAATAACGATGAGGTGCGTATTGCTTTACATAACACTGAGTCTTATACTTTACCGTGTGAGAGTTATATTTACATCGAGGGATCAATAACCAAACCGGCAGAAATAACTGACGAGATTAGATTTATAAACAATGGACTGTCGTTTCTTTTCTCCGAAATGAAATATGAAATAAACGGTAATCAAATTCAGAAACTCGTTAATCCAGGTATATCGACCACATTAAAAGGATATTGTTCGTACAATAAAACAAATATTACTTCACATCACAATTCTGCTTGGGACAGTGATATTAAAAATGCTAATAAAGATTTTATTGATAGCAACAATTTTAACGGATGTATTAATCTCAAAGATTTGTTTGGTTTTTGCGAAGATTATAAACGTATTTTAATAAACTGTAACCAGCAACTTATATTAAATAGAGTCTCGATCGATATCAATGCTATAAAACAGTATAAAAATAATGAAGTTGTTGCAGACGCGCCTAAACTAAAAGACGTTAAAATAAACATAACGAAAATATTATGGAGAATGCCTATAGTGAAAGTGAGTGATAGAGAAAAAATTCGATTGTTGAAAGTAATCAATAATCAGAAACCGCTTACATGCGCGTTTCGATCGTGGGAACTGTGTGAATATCCGTTTTTACCTCAAAACACTTCGCATTCGTGGAAAGTAAAGACTTCCAATAAATTAGAAAGACCTAGATATGTTATAATCGGTTTTCAAACCGATAGGAAAAATAGTTCGAGTAAAGCGATGTCATATTTCGACCATTGTAAAATTAAAAACGTAAAGGTTTATTTAAACTCTGAAGTATACCCTTATGAAGATTTTCAAAGCGACTTCACCAAGAATAAGATGTCGACATTATACCGCGCGTATGCTGAGTTCCAAAAGTCTTACTACGGCCATGACGATGTGACTCCTCTATTGAACCGATCAGATTTCAAAAATAACTCGCCAATTATAGTGATTGATATGAGCAGACAAAACGACAATGTGAAAATGTCGACTGTTGACCTCAGAATTGAACTAGAAGCTGACGAAGCGTTTCCTGCTTCCACTTCAGCATATTGCTTAATATTACACGATCAAATAATAACTTATAATCCATTTAATGGAGAAGTAAGAACATTGTAAATATTTATTGTAAACCTTAATATTAATATAATGGAGAAGTAAGAACCTTGCAAATATTTATTGTAAACCTTAATATTAATAAATAAAAATACTTTTTTAATATATATCATTTTTTTTATTTTACATAAATTATTTAATTCCCAACAAAAAATATTAAAAAAGCTTCCGTATTACGTTTTGTGATGGAGCTGAGTGACGAGTGAATTTTGATCGTGAGCGTTTGTGAAATGGCGCTGGATGTTCAACGAGAGATGATTGAGACGATAGTGGGGTTCTTAACATAGATGGTGAAAGTGGCCAGGATCGATTGTAAAAATCTGGTCCGTCATTTTCGTCCACCGACTGTGGACTAAGAATCTCGTCTGCAGATAACAGTGGGGCGTCTATTTGATCAAACTCCTGTATAAAATAAATAAAATAAATATTGTTTTTTTTATAAAAAAAAAATTTTATAAATTACCTTGGCTAAAGTATCATTCCCTGAATGATCAAATCCATCACGTGCAGATGAATCGTCATTCAATTCAATGACAGCCGCGTTTACAGGAGAATAGCTTGGTGACATTACTGAGAGGCTATTAAAATTCTTGTCATATGACTAAAATAAAAAATAAAAGTATTAAATATTTTATGTAACAAGTAATAATATATTTCTGGATTACCTCTGGTGAGTTTTGTGTCTTCAAACGAGCCATACAAAGTTCTGCTAGTTGTGTGGGTGCACATAATTTGATTTGACTGATGAAGTGATTTCGACTGGACTGCATGTCTTCAACGTTATTAATGAAAATGTACATTTCATGTGCATTTTCGGGCGGAGAATCCACTTGAGGAATTTTCTCGAGCAAAATATACTCAGAATATTGATTCATTTGATTGAGAATTTTGGGTTTAATGTTTATATCTTTTTCTTGAATGCTTGAATAAATACTCCACTCTAATTTCTGGAGCTGTATCAGATCTCCTCTATTCAATAGTACTCTACACCCGTCTTCAGTCTTAGATTCGATTACTAATACATTTTCTTTATTATATACCATACTCGATAATTTATACGAATCGCTCTCTAGGAATATGATTCGTTTATATGTCAGCGGAGAGTCTAGTATAAAAGACAATATATGCCCCATAAACGAGAATATTTTTTTCATAAAATCCGAAGTAATATATACGTATCGCGAAGAAGTCAATATATGAAGTACAGTTTTGAAATTTGATGAAGGGTCAATACCGATATGAATAAACTTACGGGTGCCAAAGTCGAGGGTGTAGCTTGTTGAATCAATGAGAACGACAGGAGGTGATGGAGGTACGTAGATAAATGTCTTCATCTTATATAACGCAACGTTATCTTCGATTGAACCAGCCATGTTTTAAAAAATTCACTTGATTTTGAAATAATAAATGAAGAAAAATTTTAAGGACTTGGAAAAAAACACTGACGAGAAATGAAGATTACTATAAGGCTGATGACAGACTGATTGCATGCCATCTCTTGCAAGACCCAAGAGTCTAACGATTTGAGAGATTATTAAGTGGGGGAATCATTGTTAGGTAGGGATAAATTCCTCAACGACATTAACGATAAATTGAATAACAACACCTGCCGTATAACGTGATGGGTGGTCTAAATTTATGTGAAGCTGCAAGGTTTTCTATACATGAGCAGTCTCAACCCTTGTTGAGGAATGTTAAACATGTGCTAACTCAATATTTGTGGAGGAATGTTATTGTTATAGTTAAATAACAACACATGCCGTACAACGTGATGGGCGATCTAAATTTATGTGAACCTACAAGGTTTTCCTATACATGAGCAGACTCAACTCTTGTTGAGGAATGTTATTGTTACATTAACAAAAGATAGGGTTTATCGATACACATGTTTCGCTAAAGAATGTGAAGGCTAACAACATTTAAGGTTTGAGTATACAAAGGGTTGGGTATACATTGTTAACCTTTGATGAAGAATGTTATTGTCAGATTAAAAATAGATAGAGATTGCAGGATCACACACGTCGTTGCATGCATATTCCTGAAGATTGTACAAGTATATTATTCTTAATTCTGTTAAGCAGTTATTACATCGTTTACAATTATGTTGTGCGTGCACGGAAATATGGTGCATGTACGGTAATATGGTGCATGTACGATAATATTATGTATGTACGGTAATATGTTGCATGTACGGAAATATGTTGCATGTACGGTAATATGGTGCATGTACGGTAATATGGTGCATGTACGGTAATGACCGGACGATCTATGCGAGGTTGCTTTGGTAGGTGGACGAAGGGAGGGCGGGGTGAGCAAATATGCCGTGAACGTGCACGGGCGGCGGACGAGGTGTGGGGCGGTGGCATGACAATAGGACGTGCATAAGACGAGCATGAGCATAAGACGAGCATGACAATAGGACGAGCCAAAGACGAGCAAAGACGAGGACGAGGGTCCAGAACCCCCCTTTATATCCTACTTATTATATTTAATGATTTTACTAAATTAATTATACTTATTAAAAATTTAAATTTTTTTTATATATATATATATATTCATTTTTAAAATTAATCTAAATTAAACTTTATACCTATTAATATTTATTACTTTTGTAGTAGTATTTTTTTTTTGTGTATTTACTTTACATTGAATTCCTACGTATTTTTTTTTTTAAAATGTCTTATTAGATTATCGTATTTCACTTTCCTTACCATAAAATCAAAAATACATTTYGTCAATTTTACATCAGTTCTCGGATCGTGAGCATACGTTAATCTATGTTTYTTATTACAAACCATCCCGTGTGTTTCCTCTAAATTCAATAGTCTTCCTGTTTTTTTGAATGTACCTATTTCGTACTCGAAGGTTGTCCTTTTTGTATTTAAATTTTCTAACAGTATGGTAAAAGTGCCATCGAATTTAGTGTCATAACACGTTATGTTTAATACTGGGAATCTATTTATGTCTAATCTTTTTGAGACGTTTAAATCTGAATTTCCGTTCCAAAATACTACTACATTAATTGTGTCTCCTTTCGTGATATAATTTTCAATAAATGATGGACTTAGGTTGTTTAGAGCTTTTCTTAAACTTTTGTCTAGTTGTTCTRGGCAAGCTTTTTGCAGAACTTCTTTGCATTTAAATATTCTTTTTATCTCCTTCTTGGCCAACAGTAGTTCATGATTTTTCATTGGTCGTATCTCGTCATGAAGTGGCAAGACCTCTCCCTTCAAGTTTTCGTACCTTACACTTGTCCAAACTGTTTGATATTGCTCCTGATATCAACACCATACATACTCGTCCTATTCACCATTGAAAACTCAAAGTCCATTATCACTAACTTGTGTGACCTTTTTCTGTTACAATAAAGTTTCTCTATATAAGTTATTTTTCTTTTTTTTTCTTTTAATAATTATGTTTTATAATATAATGGCTTATATGCTAATTATTTTCTAACTTATCTATATTTTGGTTTTATGATTCTAAATTTATTATTATTATTTTTACTCAGGTATTATTTCTCATACTATTATTTAACATTTTATCATCGTTTGGCCAAATCCATGTCCCATCTCTAGTCTCATTGAAACTTTTAAGCGCTGAATTCGCCACTTTTTCGTAAATAACTAATTGCTCTATCGTTTCATCTCCTTTTAGTGTCGGTGGTTGCTCGTTCCAATAGAATATAGTCGCAACACCCACCGGCTTCTTTTTCTTTTCTCTGTTGACACAGATATGCAATCAGTTAATCACGTTTCTTACATACAATCATTTTTCACTTTTTATTATTCTATTATTTACCTCTAATTTAATGACTATTACACGTTTAGATTATTATACTTTATAATTATTTTTACTATTTTAATTTCCTATATATATTTTAGTTATTTCTATTCCTATTGCGCCTAATACTATCATGTCTATTTCTAATTCTAAAGAAACATTCCAAGTGGAATTTATTCCATTCACTTATTCTAATATTATTATTATTTTTAGCAAATTCTCTCTCTACCCTAATTGCTAATTTTACATATTGTTTTAATTCGTCTGTTGTCTCATTCCCTGACAACCTTGGTGKTATKATCTCTCTATAAATTATAGTTGCCACCCCCACTGGTTTTTCAATATTTCTAATTGATAAAGGTGCTTCCCTGATGTCGTATGTCATAGGTGTTTCTGATACAATTCTAATTTTTAGGTTTTTTACCCTAATCTCCTCCAAAATGCACCTACAATATTCCCACATACGCGAATTTTCCGACTCATGTTGTTCCCAACATATTTCGTTGTGAGCATTTTCCATTGTATATGGTGTTCGCCTCCTAAAAGGTTCTTGGTCTTCATACCTGTATATCTCCATCTCTCTTACTAATTTCCCTTTTTTCGTCA